GTTACCAGTTTAGATATAGGGGAGTCTCCACTGGGAGTATAATAAAATGTTAATCAAAAGATATTATTGCATGTTTACAAAACTGGCTTTTAAAAAACAACTTTAATATACAATTATCCCACTTTAATTCTGTTGTTTTTAATTAATTTTATTTAACTTAATATCTATTATCATACAAAATTTTCTTTTTAAAAACTCAAATTAGAATGTTTTTTAATAAAGATTTAGAGGTTCTGTAATTTTTTGCTTACCCTGTGTTTAATCTGATTAGGGTTATCACCTAGATTGTAGGGACCAGGTTTATCCATATGCACGATTTAGCACATCATGCATACACATGCACCTATATCTAAAATTAGGATTTTCTGGTTTCATTTTTTATTATTCTAAGCTGTCAGAGGGGAAGAGGGTTAGGGGGTGAGGTGAGTGATCAAGCAAAAGAAAAAGAACTCTCCCTGAGCAGGTGGCTTAGATAGTTGGAGCATCATGTGGTACACCAAAAGGCTGTTGGTTTGATCTCCAGTCAGGGCACATGCCTTGGTTGCAGGCTTGATTCCAGGTTGGGGTATGTATGGGAGGCAACCAATCAATGTGTCTCTCTCACATTGATGTTTCTCTCTCTCTTTCTTCCTTTTTCTGTGGAATTGGAATTGGTGAACATGTCCTTGGGTGAGGAGGGAGAGAGAGAGAGAGAGAGAGAGAGAGAGGAAAACTCAAAGACACAGAAACAGTACAGTGATTACCAGAGGGAAAAAGGAATGGGGGAAGGTAGAAAGGGCAAAAGGGGAATAAATGGTGATGGAAGGAGACTGGACTTGGAGTGGTGAACATATGATACAATATATACATGTTGTATTATAGAATTGTACACCTGAATCCTATATAATTTTATTAATTGATGTCACCCCAATACACTCAATAATTTTTTAAAAAACATAAAATTTATGCTTACTTAGATTCCAGTTTATTCTGGCCTGAAACTAGTTTTTCTTTCACATCCAAGCCTTGTAAGTCCATGGTATTTTCTATTTGGGACATCTTTTGATTACTTCTTTCATCTGCTGTGATTACCATGTTTTTTTTTCTTTGGTGGGGGCACTTCTTTTGTTTTTAGCATATTTTTATTGATTATACTATTACAGTTCTCCCAATTTTTCTCCCTTTGCCCCCTCCACCCAGTACCTTCTATTCTCTCTGGCAATCCCCCTCTTAGTTAATGTTCATGGGTGATGCATATAAGTTCTTTGGCTTCTCCATTTCATATACTATTCTTAACTTTCCCATGTCTATTTTTTTTGTGCCTACCAATTTGCACTTCTTTTTAAAAATTTTTTACTTTAATCATTGTTCAAGTACACTTTTCTGTCCTTTACTCCCATTCCAGCCCACCCATCCATCCCTCCCCACCTCCCTCCTATTTCCACCCCCCCCTAGTTTTTCTCCACGTGTCCTTTATATTTGTTCCTAAAAATCCTTCCAATTCTCCCCTGAAATTCCCTCTCCTCTCCCCTCTAGTCACTGTCAGCCCATTCTCCAATTCAGTGTCTTTGGCTATATTTTGCTTGTTTGTTTGTTTTGTTGTTTAGGTTTCTGTTAAAGGTGAGATCATATGGTATTTGTCTTTCACCTCCTGGCTTATTTCACTTAGCATAATGCTTTCCATCTCCATCCATGCTGTTGCAAAGGGTGGGAGCTCCTTCTTTTTCTCTGCTGCATAGAATTCCATTGTGTAAATGGACCATCGTTTTCTGATCCATTCATTTACTGATGGGCACCTAGGTTGCTTCCAGCATTTGGCTATTGTAAATTGTGCTGCTATGAACATTGGTGTGCATAGGTTCTTTTGGATTGGTGTTTCAGGGTTCTTAGGATATAATCCCAGCAGTGGAATTGCTGGGTCAAAAGGCAGATCCATTTTTAGTTTTCTGAGAAAATTTCATACTGTTTTCCATAGTGGTTGTACCAGTCTGCATTCCCACCAACAGTGCACTAGGGTCCCTTTTTCTCCGCAAACTCTCCAACACTTGTTGTTTGTTGATTTGTTTATGATGGCCATTCTGACTGGTGTGAAGTGGTATCTCATTGTGGTTTTAATTTGCATCTCTCTGATAGCTAGCGATATTGAGCATCTTTTCATGTGTGTCTGGATCTTCCAATTTGTACTTCTTAATCCCTGCACCTTTTCCCCCATTCTCCCTCTTCCCCCTCCCAACTGATAACCTTCCAAATGATCTCCATATCTATGATTCTGTTCCTGTTCTGCTTGTTTGCTTAGTTTGTTATTTAGATTAAATTATTGATAGTTGTGAATTTATTGCCATTTTAATGTTCACTGTTTTGATCTTCCTTTTCATATATATTCCCTTTAGCATTTCATGTAATAATGGCTTGGTGATGAGGAACTCCTTTAGTTTTACCTTGTCTGAGAAGCACTTTATCTGCCCTTCCATTCCAAATGATGGTTTTGCTGGATACAGTAATTTAGGTTGTAGCTCCTTGCTTTTCATCACTTTGAATACTTCCTCCTTGTCCCTTTGTACCTGTAAGGTTTCTTTTGAGAAATCAGCTGACAGTCTTATGGGAACTTCTTTGTAGATAACTATCTGCTTTTCTTCAGCTGCTTTTAAGATTCTCTCTTTATCTTTAACCTTTGGCATTTTAATGATAACATGTCTTGGTGTGGTACTGTTTGGGTCAATCTTGTGTGGGACTCTCTGTGCTTCCTGAACTTGTATGTTTATTTCCTTCACCAAGTTAGGGACATTTGCTTTCATTACTTTTTCAAATAAGTTTTCAATTTCTTGCTCTTCCTCTTCTCCTTCTGGCACCCCTATGATTCAGACGCTGGTACATTTAAAAGTCCCAGAGGCTCCTTAACCTATTTTCATTTGTTTTAATTCTTTTTCTTCTTGGTGTTCTGACTGGATGCTTTTTTCTTTCTTATGTTTCAAATCATTGATTTGATTCTCAGTTTCATCCCCTACACTGTTGGTTCCCTGTTTATTTTTCATTATTTCACTTCATGTAAACTTCATTTCTGCCTGGGTCTTTTTTATGCTATTGAAATACCCAATGAGTTCCTGGAGGATCTGGATAACCAGTGTTTCAAACTCTGCATCTTATAGATTGGCTATCTCTTTTATTTAGTTCTTTTTCTGTACTTTTGTTCTGTTATTTCATTTGGGCCATATTCCTTTGCCTCCTCAATTTGGCAGCCTCCCTGTTTTTGTTTCTATGTATTAGGTAGAGCTGCTTTGACTCCCTGTCTTAGTAGTGTGGCCTATTGTAGAAAAGCATACCTGTAAGTTGTATGGGGCAGAGCCTTAGGTAATTGTTGGTGTGGGGCAATCCTTGTCACCACTCTCTGGCTCTCTGTGGGGGAGGGCTCATAGAGGGAACAATGCCACTGTGTGGCCTCTGGAGTTTTTCCCAGGAGGAAGCTATCCCCTGGCACTCAGTCTGTTGCCCGTCACTTCAATTTCTTCCCATATTCCACTGGTGCCCTTCCAGCTATTGTACTTTTGCTGAATCCCAGAGGTGGTGGGTCCACATGAGCCCTAAGTTCATTGTGAGCTTTGTAAGTGGATTCTTGAGAGAATCCTACAGTTTCTTCTGCCACCCCAACCACCACTGGTTTTTACAGCCAGAATTTATGGAGACTTATCTTCCTGGTGCTAGAAGCCTGGGCTGTGTGGTCTAATCTGGGGTATGGATTCCTTTGCTCCCAAAGTATCCCTCCCAATTTTTATACACCACACATGGATGTGGGACTGCCCATTCCTCATCTCTGCACCTCCCCATGCCACTCTGTGTCTCTTCACCTCTCCACACCTCTCCATGACTCTGTGCCTCTCTGCACATCTGCACCCCTTCTACCCATCAGGATGAATGTGGCTTCTTTAAATCTTTGGTTGTCTGACTTAATTACAGCTCAATTTTCTGACAATTCTGGGTGATATTTGTTCTGTAGTCTAGTTGTAATTTTTGCCATAGTTGTATGAGGAGGCAAAGTGTGTTTACCTACACCTCCATCTTGACACAACCATGCTCTTCATTTTCACCAGTTGTTTAGAAAACATACACTGATATGTAAATACATATACATATTTATGGACAGATAACTGTGTGTTATGCCATTTAAATAAGAAATCACTGTGGCTTTCTCATGACCTCACAGCTTACCTTCCTTTCAATGTCTCATTTATTCATTCTTCTTATAAGAACCTGAGCAAATAGTTACATGTAATCATTGTCCTGCTGAATGAGTACTCTCTAATAGTGTGACCTTTTTCGGCCTTGCATTGCTACTCTTGTTTTGCTTTCTTCACATTGGTCTGTTCAGCCCTTCTGTGGTGTTTCTATTTCTGCCTTTGTAGATGAGAACATACCTTTGAAAAAATGTAGAAATGGTAGGCAGTAAGAGGCTGGTCAAGACAATAGAGAAATTCTTCTGTCCATTCCTTTTCTATTAGATTGGCTGAACTATAGTATGTGACAAAAGCAGGAAACAGAAAAATTATAACTATGCACTGTAGTCTGTTTCTGTTAGGAGGTAATCATTATGTACCAAAATGAGAATCTGGTCAGTGTAAGGAACACATAAAAAAATAGTTCTTGTGCTTGCTGTTGTATAGGACTATTGGAATGTGTAGGAGTTTGAGGGAAAATTAATTCTGTCATGTCTACAACTATCACATGTTGCCTTTTCCAGATGTCTGTGCAAGGTGGATTCTCAGCATGTGCAAGCTTTGTAAATCATGAGCTGTTTTAGTTTTTGATACACAGGAGAAAATATGGCCCCTAATGAGGATTGTCAACTCCTGACTCCACAGTAAAATAAGGAAAAGGATTAGGTGGAGGAATACTTCAGAGACTGTCATAAAGATGAGATTTTTCTGTTCCTTTTAAAGGCTAACATGAGACAAACCTCAAAGTAATACTGCTTTTTATAGAGTGGTTTGTTGCTCTAAGTGACTTTAGCTTAATTTATTGTTTTACAGTTGCCTGGTAGTCAAGAAGACCACTAAATCAGAAGCAATCATAACACATTCTCTCTGTGAGTAGAACATAGTACTATTATTTAAGTCTGTTTTTAATATTTTATTGTTTATGCTATTAAAGTTAGTTATTTTAAACGAAGAAAACAGCTACCAGGAATCAAGAGACTGACCCAAAATTACACAACTTAGTAGCATTTATTTTATGACAATACTAATCTAGATTGGCACTTCATTTCCTATTCTCAAAAGTGTACAGTAAATTGGTTGGTTATGTAGTCAATTATAGTGTAAGCAGCATGACTGTTTTAACTTCCACTGGATACCTGTAGCACAGAAGCAGAATGGGAGTCTTTGAAACGATGTAGTACTTGTAATTTTGTATGGTGCATATTCCTACAACTACTATGTCATCTACTCCAACATAGTACTTCAAACACTGAAGTTTAACCCCTCTTTTTTCTCTATTCTCATTGGAGATTATTAGCTAGTCACACTCTTCCCCCTCCTCCTTTTGTCTCATCCAAAACAAGTTAAAACCTTTCCTATTAAAGAATTATTTTTCTTTCTGCAAACTAACCCACCTACTTCTCTACTCCACAATCTTATTTACATGCTGAAAGATCCAAGTAACTTAGACCCTGTCTCCAACCCATTTTTATCATTGTTTTTGTGGTTTTCTTTCTCTATTCTTAACTCCTCAGCACATAGTATTGGACATGCTGTTTTCTCCACTGCATAATTAAGAAACGATATGCCCCAATTATATGGAATATCTTTTTCTTAACCTGCCTCCTGTGTCATCTACCCATGAAGGCAGCAAGACAAAATATTTTGGGAATAGCTTTCTTTTCCGTGGGAGTGAAGTGGGAGGGAGAGGGATTTGTTCTGACTTATTTCTGGCTTCTATCCAGAGGTTTATTCAAGCTGCCTTGAATCAGCTCTTGATAACCAATTGTGCACATTGCTTCCCAACTCTAAGCTTATATTCAGTGATGAGTTCATGGTCAGGGACTGGTAGTTTGAAATTAGCCATGGTGGTAATATTTGCCTCATGGAAATCAGCAAAGGCAATGAAGCAAGCCTCCTCACCCCTCAAACTGGTTGTTAAACATTTACCACCATATGACTACCTGCTTTAAAATCATTCTTGATCAGAAAGTTTATCTAAGTACACATCTGCTTCCAGTATTTTGTAAACATGATCAAAAAGTAGTTACTCAAAACCATATATCTATATATATCTTTCTGTATATTTGAAGATTTAAGACTGGAAAATGTAAAACTAAGCTTAAGAAATCAGGCAAGAATTATAATGTAACTGGACAGGATCACCTACCATTCTGACACTACATCTTTAAAACTCTATTAGTAGTTTCAGTGTACCCAAGGTAGCTGCTGTTACATTCAGCAGGTAGCTATTAGATACTGAGTATCAGTTATATGTTTATAAGTGCCCCTTTTAAGGTAAATGAGCCATGTAAGATGCTACATATTGGGACACAAAGGGCAATACCATGGGGAATGAACTCAATTCTATTTTGAAAGCATTTCTCTTCATACTGAAGATTATGTGTGACAAGCAGCATGACTATAACACTTTCTCATTCTGTATGTATTCTTATATCTCTGACACTCCTAGAAACAGCTCGTCTGCAAATGATTTCAGGTTGCTACCATATTCTCCATAACAAATCACTTATAATGAACTTCATCTATGCATTAAAAATAATGTTAAGTTCAGAAGGATATTGAACAGTGACTGTGTTGGTCGTTTGAGCTCCTGGGATGCAGCTTGGTGAGATTCCTCATTTATCTTTGTGCTAAACCCTCAGTGTGATGACCTGGTAGCTAGAATGTTTGTGGAACTGGTACACTGTTATTCACCACTTCTGGCAGCCCAGCAAAGTTTTTACAGGTAATACAGGGGAGCCCAGTGATGCTTTAGCTCACATAATAGTAAGATACTGTTATCTTATTCCCTTTCACAATGTAGCAACAAAGTGGGACTAATTCACATGTTGATTGGGCCAGACTACAATGGCCAGGATCCTGAAACAATACAGATTCACACAATGGTTTGGGGAAGTAAATAGAAAGACTACCAGTTAAGGAGTGAGTTAGATAGATAAAGGTGGCAATCTGTAACAAGATAACAAGAACTAAGATAGCAGCAGAGTAGGTGGAAGCTACACACACCTCCTCCTAGGACCAAACTGGAATTATAAAACATAAAACAATCAACCTGAATAACCAACCAAAGACTAGCTGAATAGATCCTGTAACCAACAGAAAAACCACATCAAGACTGGTAGGAAGAGGGAGGAATGTGAAAGGGCTGGCCCTGCTCCCATGGGCAACAGCTGAAATCCTGGAGGGATATCTCAGCTACAAAGTTTCCCCCTGAGAAGCATGGGGTGTCAACCTCACACTGGGCTCCCCAGCCCAAAACACCACAGCTAAGAAGAGGCACCCACATGACATCTGGTTGTGAAAAGAAGAAGGCATTCTGTCTGCTAGGGAGAGACAGGAGTCTGCTAGAGACATAGGCATGCTCTTAAAGGGAAAAGGCACAAAAATCTCATCACAGCCACTCAACCAGGGCTACACTGCAGGGAGGGCAGAGTGGAATAAAGTCATGTGAGGAGAGACTGGAGTTTGTGGCTCTGGAGAGAGAGCTGAAGGGATAGCCATAGGAACCTGGCACTGAGTCCCTCTTTCACACTGCAGATGACATCTTTCCTGGGTGGAGCACTCTCCTACTAACTGCTACAGCCTGGAAGAATGCCATATCTCCACCCTCTGAACTCCCTGCTTCCCAACCCTGTGGTGCTTGTGCACTGGTGTAAAGGTCTGGGCAGACTCAGGAAATGTCAGCGACTGAGTTGTCTGGCTTTGGGATAGGTCTATTCCCTCTACTTTCCCAGGAACCTGACTGGGACTTCCCCCTCACAGAAGATCAACTATGACCCACCTTCCTGACTCCTGGTGGCTTTGCTCTGCCAAGGTATAGGCAGAATATAGGACAGACTGTGTTGTGTGGCTCTGGGATAGAGGCCACTACCCCCAACTTCACCTAAGCCTGGCTGGCACCACCTCCTTACAGGAGATCGAGTAGCCCCATGAGTCTCAGCAGCCCTACCCTACAGAGACTGGGATTCTGAAAGAATCTGGGACAGACCAAGTGGTGTGGCTCGAGAATGAGGCCATTTTTTTTCCTATCACACCCGACTGGTGCAGAGTTCTCCCTTCACGTGGACAAAATTTAGACTGTTTAGCCTGCTCAACTCTACTGGCCTGAGCCTGATGACTCCCTGAGACCTTGCCCTACCACAAAGGTGGCAGCTTGACTTGGTATACTGTGGGATATTTGATGAATGTTCTCAGGACATCATTGGCACTGAATTTGAACCCATATTAATTTAGTGAACACCATGTGCCCCTGCCTGGTGACTCGCTGAGAACATACCTCATGCATCTTGGGTACCACCAGAGGCCCTTGTAGTGACTGAGTCTCACAGGCAGCTGACAGTAAGAGGGAGACCAAGGTAGATTTTGGGATGCCTTGGGCATTTTGCTGACCTTCCCCTGGATTCAGTATTGGTGGAAGAAACCTTGGTAAACAGTTTGGTCCTTTCCATGCACACACAGACCCAGAAGGGGCAGCCACAAACTGCAGATTGCTTTGCACCTAGGAACAGGTTGCCCAGGGCCAGTTATAGGCAGCATCTGACATTGGTCTACACCAGAATATCACCCAAGAGGACTCAGAACTAACGCACCCGGTGGCCAGCTTTAGACAACATCAGAGCAGGATCCAATTAGCTTCACAGGTGGTATATCCAAAGGGAGATCTCAACAGGTACCAGACCCTGTTGAAGTGAATTCCACTTTTTGTGGTCAACACCTACACAGCAGCTTATCATACACTGTGGTCAAGGCGATCCTCACAGTCAGCCCACCTGAGGGTCAAACCCACACATGAATGGAAAAATAACAATCAAGACTTAATTTAAGTGTCTGTTCAGGTGTTTTGCCATGGAATACTATGCAACAGAAGGAACTAGTAACCTTCATGAAAGCATGGATAGAATTGGAGAGCATTATGCAAAATGAAATAAGCCAGGCAGTGAAAGACAAATAGCATATGATCTCACCTATAAGTGGAACCTAATCAACAAAACAAGGAGATGAGCAAAATAGAACCAGAAACTTGGAAATAAAGAACAAACTGACAGTGACCAGAGGGGAGGGGGATAATGGGGAAAAGAAGCAGAAGGAGCAAACAAAGGAACACAAACAGAGGACTCATGGGCATGGACATTGGAGGGGATTGACTGTGGGAGTCGGGGAGGATGGGGTAGGGGAGGGAAGTGGGGAAAAAGGTGAGACAACTATAATTGAACCACAATAAAAATTTTTAATAGACTGAATTAAAGCAAAGAGATCTCACATAACCCACACAAGGGACAATCCTGGAACACTCAATTCAGGTGACGAGGGACACTGTGCCATTGGATCTCATAAAACATCTACTATATAAGGCCACCATACAAAGACAGGGGGACATAGCAGAGCTACCTAATACATAGTAACAAAAACAAAAAGGCAGGCAAAATTGGGAGACAAAGAAACATGTCCCAAACATGTCCCAGACCAAAAAGATAAATGAAATAGAGGCAAGCAATTTACCAGATATAGAGTTCAAAAAATGATTATAAGGATGCTCAAGGAAATTAGTGAACTACAACAGCATGAAAAAGAACACAGAAACCATAAAAAGTACCACTGAGAAATGAAGACTGCAATATCTGAAATAAAGAATACACTAGAAGAAATAAACAGTAGCTTGGGTAACGCAGAGGATCAAATCAGCGATTTGGAAGTCAAAGTAGCAGAAAACACCCAATCACAACAGCAAAGAGAAAAAAAGAATTTAAAAAATGAGGATAGTTTAAGGGACTTTTGGGACAACGTGAAATGTGGCAACATTCACATCATAAAGGTACCAGAAGAAGAAGAGAGAGCAAGATATCAAGAACCTACTTGAAGAAATAAT